CACACAGCTAATATTACACTTAGAGCGTGCCATCCCGACCTAATTTCAAAGATTCAACATATATATCTGTACTACTTTTAGGTGGTTCCAGTTTAAAAACAGCCAAATCCTTTGATGGTAAATCTATAGATGTGTCTTGGAAAGACCTGTTTGTATCAGCATGGGATGACTTGTTTTATGAAGTGAGTTTGGGATCGTCTGAAGGTGGTGCAGACGTTCTGCAGTGGCAGGAAACAAAAGAAACAAGATTAACATTTGCTGTTGCAAATAAAAACAAGACACAGAACCTTTATCTGGCGTTAACAGCCATAGACCCCTGTGGTCTGTTTACCCATTATAAACACAAAATAACTGTCTAATGATAGTCTGGTGACCATTTTACCCCGGTTTCCCAATGAAAGGGATTTGGATCAGCCATAATTTACTACAAATAATAATATTTCTAACAGAGTAACAGTATTCCGAAATTTCTTTTTCTTCATTCATTCAATTGTGATGCACAGTGATATTGGATAAGTTTCGCCTATTTCCAAAAGAAAGGAATTTGTGGTCAGCAGAACTTAATTACAAATACTAGCGATGTGTTACTTACATTACTACTAATACTAACAATATGCTACTAATATCACAATAACAAGATAATTTAATGCTCAATACATTGATTATGGAGCATTAAAATAGAACCTGAAACACGTTGTTACTCTGAGTAACAACACGTTTAGGGTTCTCTTTTATAATAGTACTAATAGTACGTATATCACTCCTTTCATTTCATTCCAGAATCATTTGATTAGCAAAAAATTGTAAATCTGGATATTTCGTTTCGTTTCGTTGTTTTTTTTATGATTCCACTTGTCATGCGTCTCTAATTACTTGCTTAGTAATCATTTTGTGTTTTTCTATGAAAACTTTGAGAAGACATTTTAAACCTCTCTGTTCATTCATTTTTATCATTAGATCATTATTTTGATACTAGTTTACATGTACATCAGTTAAATTTAATGTGAATCTCATTTTAATGATTAACAAATTGAATGATTCTAAATCAACTTGACCTATCGTTACGATTTAAAATAATTGAAAAAAGTTTCGTTTTATTGCGTTTTCTGTATTTTCAACGTAAAAATGGTTTGTGATTTTAAGTGTTATAGGAGATGCTCTCCTACCTCAGAACTGGCCTCGAAAGACCTACGCATACGCAAAACTCCACTATATTTATGTGGTCACGATGTCAAGCTATTATGAACGTCGTCTTATACCTTGACTTCAATAGCTACCGTTCATGTATCATGTAAGTTTGTAGGTGTAGTGGCGATTCTAGGAAATATTAGGTGAAGGGACCAAGCAATGGCCAAAAAATTAAACAGGGGGGTCATATGCAATTCTGTCGCCATGTAAAATAATTCCCTGGTCCCCCACCTTCAGAAACATCATTGAATGGATTGAACTCTAGCGAAAACAGCCAATCAGAGCCCTCCACAGACATACTGTAAACAGAAAGCCTCAACTTTTACAGTCTTTCTGTCGAAGGCTCTGATTGACTTATTTGCTGGCATACAATCCAATCAAATCGCTGCATTCCGCGATATTGGAATGGTAGCTTTTGCAGTCAAGGTATATGACGAAGTTCGTTACAGTTTGAAGATGCAGATTCATATCGCAAAACTATTTTGTTGTTTGTATTCCTGATTTTAAATCTTTATGTTGTCCAAGTTATAGTCGACACGATAAACAGTAAGGTGTAAATATTTGTATGATATTTGTATTGTGAATAACAAACACTGTGATATTTTCAACAATAAAATCTCTATGTATTTTCTTAAAACTTATGTTGAAATTATTTTTGTTGGCTTTGTGGTTCAAAGCTGGGTTGAAGGAAATTGAGTTTTACGTCTGATAATTCTGCATCTATCTTGCTCTGTTGTAAAAGAAGTGTATTTGATTTTGTTGGCAAATTGCTCGTTCAATTGTAGTCTAACAGGGTAGTATGCAAAGTTTACGTCGTAAATTACATCCGAAAATATTTCTATAATATGCTATTTACATCTATGTAGTCCGAAACGTATGCCTATATTTCAGCCTCTGGTGGATATTTTGACAGTTGTTGGTTAGAGTACACCAGGCAGACATTTGTCCAAAAATCGATCAGAGGCAGATGTTTCGGCCAAACATCTATGTAACTACTTGATCAAACTGAACTTGTTTTAAAAAGGGTTATTTAAACAAATAACTTACTGTTAAGTAAGCAGCTTAAACTAGTTTTAATGTTGGGCCCCATAAAGACTAGATATTTTAGTTGAAACCTTAAAGATAGGTTTCCTTATTTTTTAGTGTCAAATTAAGCAAACCATCTAATGAATTATCACGTATTCTTAATCATATCATTATGTTCTTATTGCATATATTTAAGAGTTTTAACCAATCATAAAATGTCCATGTATGTACAGTCTGGTTAAACAAAAACGACTTTTTGACCTATCTTGATCGGTCACTCAATGGAATTCTGTTGGTAATTCTCTTCTAAATTAGCTAATTATGAATTAATTATGGACATGTGAGACAAACTGGTATTTTTCAAAGTTATTAGAACACCTGTAATTTCTATTCATATTTCATCTTCATAAGACTTTTCTTGGAAAATAGCTTTCGCAAGTGTTTTAATACATATTTTTAAGCAATATTTGCGATAGCGACATCATTTGTATTTACAGAAACACCGACATCTTAGGAAGAATGGAATGATACAAATAAAAGCCATAGATGGCTCGATAGACATAAAAATAGCTGTAAAAAACCATGATTGGTCCTTTAATGTATAAAAGTGCTTTATAGCATGTTTAAGTTTAAAGGTTCAATTCGTGGCCTTACTGATCAGTGAACCCATTTTAAGCCATTATCCTTCACTTGTATTTCGTAATACGGTTTGTTTAATCTGCCCTTTTATAATGAAATTTCCGTTCATTTACATATTGAACATAAGCTATTGGAGCTCATTCCAAAAGCGTTTTTTTTTGGGGGGGGGGGGGGGGATTGAATATTGATGTTAACACCCAAATAACCTGAACTGGTTATGTTACAAGGTCATATATCTACAATGAAACTAAGATTTGGGATACTAGTTTGTAATTGGTTATTATGAATAAATCGACCAATTATTTAAATTCTCGCAGATTCTGGGTTTTAAGTTTTATGGCTACAAACTGTGATCAAGCTATTTATTGCTTTAAACAGAAAACTACTATTGAAAATCTGTTTAAGTATACACCTTAAATTCAACTGAGAGAATGTAATCTGATACCAATGTGTGTAGGTCATCTAGAAATTTAAAGAACCAATTGTTGATGACAAGTTTATGAGAGAAAACTCTGTGAGGCTGCATGGGGTCAAATTCCCTTTTTTGTAGAATTGGCGGTCACTGACATAACACGCTGTTACAATATAGATTGTTTACCTGATTTGATTGGCTGGGGCGATACATGATACACATCTCCAACCCCGGGCAGCTTCTAATGAGAATCAGTTAGTATTCGAACACAATAGCGAGTGAACTGTGTTTTTATTTAGGTCAGCGGGTTAAAGGACATTTCTTTATTAACGTTAGGATCTTCATTTAACAGTCCAGGAATATAGCCTAATAAGGTAAGAATTCGGTTTATGTGTATGTCTCCAAATTATCTCATCATTTTGATAAAGGCAATAGATACATTCAATTATTGCAATTCGAGAATTTGATGATAGAATCTGCAAACCACTTTCAACCTTGTCGCGTACAAATCTATTGTGTCCAGCTAGCTAGCAAGAGCAGTTGTCTTGCCGGGGATGAGAGCTTGGAAATGGCATGTTCTATTTTCGGATTTTTCAGTCTATTTCCTGTCCGTCACTGATGCAGGTTGGAGTGGCTGACATGGAAAAGGCGACTAGTCTTTCGGATTGAGCACTAAACTAAGGAAATTGGAAATCGAAAGATAGCAGGTCATTGTGGTTCTTCTGGCAATTTCCCCGTGTGCAAAGTGCAATTGGGTCATTTTCTACACGGTGGCGTTTTTATGCATCTCTACCCCCTTGGCTGGCCCGGCGTTTGCCCTACCCCCCCCCCCCCTTTTTAGTTTCAAATTTCAAACCATTGAATTCTGAAATGTCTGGTGCTATTCCCCCACCCCCTCGACAATTATATGTTCCCCACTTGACCCCTCCGCCTAATGCTTTATAGAAACGCCAGTGTTTCTACACCTGTTATTAAATAATGAGGGCGGACAGAGGCCATGCAGTTGGTAATGAGGGAAACATTGTAAGAAGGGCGACATTAGCCTAATCTTTTTCGATATCCAACTGTCGTGGGCTCCCTAATGTGCACAGCAATTTTTATTTCCCATATGGACGTTCGGACGCTTTTTCCATGCCAGCCCCGTCGAAGCTAACCCTGGCTTTGTTGGTACAAACTGATGCAGAAAATTTACCTACTCATCTATTGACGTTAACTCAATTCGATTTAAGTATCATTTCATATACATGTGCCTGCACGGCCCTCACAAAAATGAAAATATTTAGTTCATGGTCATAGCCATTGTCATGGTTGTTTGGTGCAAGTACATGTACTTTACGAACAGTTGTTGTTCAGAATGATGAATATAAATTATAGTAAAACTCTAAAAATAGCGAATTGTTTTTGTTTCATAAATCTAAATAATATAAACTGATGAAAACTAATAAAAACAACTCTAGCCTAGTGTTTGTATAATATATTGCTGTTTGTATTAAATGTTTCAATTTGGTATATTTTCTTAAAGGGATTGTAAAGAGGTGTGTGTATCGGGGACAGTGATAGCATCAATTTGCACCATTCCGATTTTCAGTCCGACGTCTTTGGCTCTTGCAATTCTACTAAAACTGAGTGTTTTATGACGTCACTAATCATAAAATATACTTGCATTGTATCACTATTTCGGCTGATTGGGTAGTGTCTGGATCAGAAAATTTTTTCTGAAACTCTCTAAGTTAAAATGGTGAAGTCATACAAGTTAAACGGAACTGGTGCGAAGACCAAAGTTTCAACTATAGAATGTAAAGATGATAGAACTGAATCGAAAGTCGAAAGAGAAGAAAAGGGGTAAGGAATTTTTATAAAAATATATCGTTTGTTAAGTGATTTCCAGAGTATTAGCTATACGCAATTAATTATTCATATAGATTGGTAAAGAAAAGTACGTCGATGGTTAGAAACTATACGTGCGCATGCACAACACGTCCATTCCTACTTCCGCTTGAGAATAAACAACTTCGATTTACTCTACTATTGCAGTCCATGGATATGAATCTAATACAAGGGGTTTATTACATTTACAATTGTCAGATATTTTATCCGAGAACTGAGAAAATTTGCTTTCGACAACGTTCTAAACGCTAATTGGATAACTGTCAATGCAGATTTTTACCGCTGGTAATGGACTTGCATAGTAAATCGACGCTGTTTATCTTAAGGCGGAAGTAGGGAATGAGCGTGTTGCGCATGAGGGTAATGCAATTGGTTGGAAGATGATAAGTTTAAATCCAGTTCCAGTTTAGCCTTAGCTGATATCGCAGATAGGTAGGCTAGTTGTTGGTAGTCAACGTCCTCGGTCCTGACATCGAAGACTTGGTAGTCATTAGTAGATGACAAGTTCACGTACGCTTCCAGTGTAAGCCTATATCGCAGACTAGGTTGTTGTTGGTAGTCGTAGTAGTTGGTTGTCGGATCAGATCAATTGGATGATCTGGCACTGTTGGTTTTGTAGTTCGTAAGATCTGGTCGGATCGAATAACATGGCGGACTTGGCGGTGAAATTCAGCCCAGGGTAATGTAGCTTAAGCTTGATTTACTTAGTCGTCTTCATTCGGACTAGTATAATGATTTTTTTATTCTATTTATAGACCAGATGAAGAACGGAAGGAAACAGGCATGGCGTTGAATCTGGTTGAAAAGATAGTGTTATTTCTCACTGCATCCTGTAGTTATTTTATAGTGATCGGAGTAGCTTTCTCCATGACAACATTCCTGCCATATTGGTTGGACGAATTTAAATCATCGCGAGCCCAGACGGCCATGATTCAGTCAGTTCTGGTCGGCATTCACGAGGGATTAAGTAGGTCATATTTTCAGTTTAGAAGTCACTTGTTTAGTCCGAAACCACCGATATTAAGAGGACTCATTCAAAATGAGGTATTTCTATGAACTGAAAACTCTAAACGCCCCTTTTCACCTTCTCTATCTATTTATCAATTAAGAATATTACAATGACATGTGCGAGGACGTCTTAAATATCCATACCTACTCAAAGGTAAGCCATGCCCAAAATTCAAAACATATTATTAAACCCTGATTTATGCCTAGAATGTGCACCCATTTGCCTTTGTAGAAATGTGTCAAAACATATATTAACTTTGTGCCAATGTCAGATATCTGCGTTGTATTTTCACGTGATCAAAGTATTTGGTGTAAAGTTTTTTCGTAAAGTTGAATCTGTTGTAGAGCTCTAGCATAACTTTCACGGTAGGTCGTTAGATCGATTCATTTTAATGAATTTATATCTGTTTCAGATACGCTGACTGGAATAATAATAGTAAAAGTTGGGGCCAGGATCACTATACTAAGTGGTGCTTTATTATCTACTATTGGCTTTATTGGGGCATACTTCGCTCCCAGCACTCCTGTTTTACTGGTGACACTAGGCATTATTGGAGGTAATATCTTGTATGATCAGTCTAATTAAAAACTTTCGCGAGTTTCGTACCGTTTTTTATTAGCATTTATTTTTTTTTTTTTTTTTTTAATATAACCACTTCAAGTAGGGTCTAACGACATCCCTAATGAACGTTCGTCTAAATTAACCTTTTGGTCAAACCTGATAAACATCGCGTCACAACTTTTCAGTGCTGGAGGGGGTATAAACTTAATAAGGTTAATTTTACGAATGTTCAAGGGGGCGTTAGACCCTAACTGAAGTGGAAATATTAAAACTAAAAGATAATAAAAAAACGGAAGGAAAGTTTGGTCTCATTTTAATTAGACTGAAAATGATTAGCAATTTGAGATGAAGGGATACGAGGAGGGGGTCGCGGCAGAGCCCAATTACAAGGTTGAAAAATCTGCCAGTTGTATGGTATGAGAGTTAGTTATTTAATTTAAGACTAACGTGACGTGGAAACTCGATTTTAAGTGATTTGAACATCTAGAATATAGTTTCTTCTTTAGAGCACATGGATTTTATGGAGATATTGAATGAAAAGAACCCATGGATCACTTTATTTCTGTTTTTTGATGGGTTTTATTTTTCAGGGACTGGATGTAGTTGTATTTATTTAGTCTCGCTTGTCACGGTTTCATCATCATTCGGTAAATCATCATCGCTGGCCATTTGTCTGTTCTTCTCTTTCGCTAGTGTTGGTGTGAGCGTATTTCCTTACCTGAACGAGTTCCTCATCTCGAAATACTCCTGGCGTGGGACGATGCTAATTTATGGCGGGATTTTCTTTCAGACGTTCGCCTTTGGATATCTGATGACGTCACTGAGTCGACGCGGGACAAAACCAGCATGTAAAGACCCAGACGCAAAACATTGGAGCACCGTTCAAAAGTTGAAACACATCTTCCAGTTAGGTTTCATTCTGACCGCCATTTCGACGTGCATTGCGTTATTTGCTGGGAATGGTTTTCTTGTGATTTTGTCAGATGTTGTGAAAGATATTACTGACGACAATGGAGCGTTATTCTTGTTAGAAATTAGTTTAACAGTGTCGGTGTCCACAGCATGTTTTGGATTTTTGAATAAGATTCCGTTTTTTAAAAGTTATGTGTTATTTTCCACTGCCGTGCTGGTCTTGGGAACTGGTTTAATTTTATTGTCATTATTTAAAGTATATTATCAAACGGTGATATTGGTGGTGTTTTTCGCAATTGGTCTTGGAGGGACGGTCGTCATGAACAATGTTGCAGTTTTAGATCTTGTCGACCCTGAAACTTTCCCCATTGCTGTTGGAATCATTAATACAGCTAAGGGAATATGCACTGGTATCGCTGGTATAATATACGGTATGTTTTATTTTTTGCTATCTCATTTTGCCAGTAAGAGACCCGTCGCCTGGAGGGATTTGGTGGAAGCTGTTGCGCGTGAGGCCCGTCAACGCGAATTGCTAAGAGTTCTACAAGCTTTAGTCTGGGGCCTCTCCCATGAAAACTTAAAAAAAGACAACACCTTATCAAAACTTTCCTCCTATTGGTTTTGCACGAATACACTGTGAATTAATCCATTTCGGCTGAACTGAAGAATGTTAGCTGGAGCTTAATTCTTACTTGCAAGAGCCAAGCCTCTATGGTAATCCCATCACTTTGTATGTACCATTTTTTTCTATTAGTCAAGACTACAGTCTTCTTAAGTCGCAGAGGTAACTGTGTCACGTTTCAAAATTAAAATTTAGTTTAAAACAGATACACGTACTTGAAGTTAATCCATAACTTAACAGCATGTTCCTTAAGCACCGGTAGCATTATATTATTCTACCGGTGCTTACGGAACTTGATCTAACAGTCACAGCACAGTCATCCTATTCGGTTGTAATTTGATAAAGTCCCTTGTGTCTCTTTTGTGTTAAACTCATCCTCTTTACCGACGTAAACTTTCATGTTATTACTCTATTTCAGGCTTACTGTATGATATCACGCTGTCCTATAGTTTACCTCTTAGACTAATCGGCTCTATAGCTTGTGTTGCCTCTTCTTTACCAATCCTTGGACGTGTTATCACCACAAAATGTTTAAAATCGGACAAAAAATCGGATCCAGAAATACGGACAACAACTGAGAAAATTTTAGAATAGATAAAAGTTCAGGCTCAAAGCAAAGAAAAAGCCAAAAAGAAAGATTCGCTGATTTTACAAGTATAACAATTTAGGTTTACTATTATACTTCTAACATCTGTTTTGTTTTACTAGAACATCTCTGGTCTCAAGGATCCTGTCTACTATTATAGCTCGACCTTGGTCACACTTCTTGGCAATAACTTTATTAGATACTATCCTTTCTACCAGCTAATCCGAGTTAAGAGTGTCTGGAGTATGCGTGAATTAAGTTTGAATGAGTTGAATAAAATGTTTGTGTGAAATATGTGCTAAAACTGTTTATTTTTGATCAATTAATATTTCTCAGCAAAGGTTTTAATGATATTTCGAATCCCACAACCCGTGGGATTTATTCACGAGAGCCTTTTTTGTGTATGGGAAAATAGTAATGAAGTAAGGGGCTTAACTCGTGCCTACAGTACCAGTTCTGTTCAGCCGACCAGTGAGGTAGACTATCTATTTTGGTAAGATTTTGAAACTTGGGTCATATTTCGGCATACTGGAAATATTGCGATAGCGAGAGATATCTGCGGGGTTGGACAATGGTGCTATAGGCGGTTCAAGAAATCCCCATCGTTACAGGCAATAAATACAGCGCGGTGTAAGTAAAGCGCGTCATTGGAAGAAAATTTGAGCACTCAGTTTTCAATGTCCTCGATGATGTTCTGTAGAGCAGGTTTTTACCGTGGAAGGGGTCGCAACTCCTGTCTACAAACTTGGTTAATTTAGCCGGCGACCAGTGACCTTGACTTTCTGTTTTCCTGGACTTAGAAACGTTGATAGTAAATTAATCTGGGGACTCAAATACAACGTCCCAAAATTCGTGGTTGATAACACATTGGTCTGTAGTCCACAAACGATGACAGTGGTTAACTCCCTTTAATGAAGAACACTCCTCTATTATGGCATTCATGCAGTTAATTCTGATACAAAATATAGGTCTTACGTTTGCTGTGTGATCTTCTGTGGGGTACTTCACTATTATAGGATACGAGAACATTTAGTACCACAAACTGGGTTATAACGAGATAAAAGTGTTGGGTGGGTCTAGTGTTTTAAAATACATACCGGTTATTGAAAAATGATTCTTCTACAAATTGGTTGTCGTTTTAAAAGTTTCTATAACGCTTCCGTCTTGCATCGATTTTGTTTTAAATCTAAGGCTTGGATGTAAGCCATTACCATCAATATCTTCTTGTGGTTTTTAGAAACATGTCTGCTATAAATTAACAAACCACATGTTTCAAATCAGGAGACTGAGAGTACTCCCAAGGGAGATAACTATTATTAATTCCGGTCGATACAAAGAGACGAAGTGATGAAGTTTTCACACGTTGGAATGCGAAACAATCAAATTAAAGCCTTTAAGTCTTGAATCTCTCTCCAGTCTTCTCGTCATCTCCTTTATTTCAACAACTCATCTTGATCCACACTCCCATTTACACCCTCGTCAGCGAATTAATTACTTTCGCGCCTTCACATGAAGTCAGTGATGCGGTTGTAGTGTCAGCCGCGAGTAGAATTGTGCAGACGTTGAGTGCCAAGTAATGTAGTCTCGATTTAACAGCCTGGTGAACTGAATGTAAATTGTGTAAAAAACATTAGTTTCATAAATGTAGAAATAGTAGCATAAGCCTATATATCTTGGGCTTCCTTTTACTATTTGATAACGTACACTGCCTGTACGAATAATGATACACCGAGTCTATAAATTTAGAAGAAATATAGCCATATTGCATCTTTATTTAGTCTCAGAACTAGACCCACACCGCCCGTAATTGCTTAAAGAGGAATAATTATTTCATCAGTTATACAAGATGCTAATATTGAATCCATCGAACTGAATAACTAAACTATCGTATCACTTTAAGCAAAGCAAAGTCAGAAATATCTGTAATGGAATAATGGAAGCGTTGGAATTGATATGGACAACCGAGACTATAACATCATTCGTGTAAATGGCCAATAGAGGGTTTTGGTGCGAGATGTTGAGTTGACAAGTCCCTGGTGTATCTAGGTGTCGTCATGGTGTCACTTCCGCCACGGCCTAGTTGTTAAACAGAACATCTGACGACTCTAATGGATGGCACTTCATTTCATCTCTTGGCTATTATTATCTGGAATCTTAGCTTTCTGTTAGTTGCAGAATACCATGGATGAACCCTGGACCTTAGATCGGCGTCTCTATGAATTTAGGGCCGAGAAGGGGGCGCAAGAACAATTCTTTCCCTGTATTAAATGATAAGAGATTGGGTGAGTGGGCAAAGCCGGGCCAGCTTCGTTTCTCCACCTTCACGCTCTCCGTATAGCACTGCTGCTACCCAATCGCAGAAGAAAATAACAACTAAAATCTTGACATTACGAAGTTGTTGTGGTCAATCCATATGCCTATCATGTGACCAATGTTATTTGCTATACAATAAAAGATATTGGCATCCTGTACGATTAAGGTTGTTATAAAGATAAATAATAGATGAAGCGATCGAGTGAAATAGAAACCTCAATCAATTTTTAATGAGAACTGAAATGAAATGAAGTTTTACGTTTTAGGATTTTACTATTGAAGTTTATTAAAATTGGACCTCAATGGCCAATAACTACCGACACTTTTTATAGCTCCGGTACAGAACACAAGAATATTGAAATTGAAATGCAGTGTGCAATGGGTAATATTTTGACAGGATAACCGTCTCTTTTTGAAGGCTAGTATAATTGTTTATTATAAGCGCTTTTTGACCATTTCCAATCATTTATTCAGAGTCAACGTCTACTAGATATTGAGCTTTATAAGCTGTCAAGTAAATAGGTTATTGTGAATATCTACCACTCCACGTTCGCAATCATCCTTTGGGTAATTGTCCCTAGTCACTTATTTCCCGTTAGATCGTCAAACGTTTGTTCTTCGGGCAAATTGTATCGAGATCTTATCACTTCTGTATAATTATCATAATTGAAATGTTTTCAATAGCAAAGAGCCAGTAACTATCGAGATTAAGGAGAAATTAGCCCTTCAATAGGTATAATTTGACCACGTGGCCGACCACGTGTCTTGTATCACGTGTCGTGTTTCTATTAATAGATTAAAAATGATAATTTCGTGTATCTGTAATTGTTTGCTAATAAAATCCCTTTATGTCTCGTTATATCCGTTTGATCTTTTATCAGCTCACTTGAGCATGCTCAGCCAATGCTTTACTAACAAACGTATCCCTAAAAAGTGTTGTGGTTCACACACTCTATCAGTCGCTGAAGTTTACTGTTAGATGGACTTATTCATATGTCACCGAATACTCCTCCAGATAAAATAGTTTCGTTTTTTTTGTACACATTTAAATAATCCATAATATTAGTGAGGCCCAATTTCGCACCATTTTTTACTTCCGGTTTGGGAGTTTATACCAACTTCTTTAAATTAAACAAAAACAGCATATATTAACAATGTATTTGGACAATTATGTTATAATGAAATCGTTATATATATATTTGTGTAACTCATTATCGCCTGGAAAGCTTTATCCGCTTATCAAGATTATATCAACACATCACTTCCGTCACAACTAAATTAATTCTGCCTACTAATAGAGGGTTCCGGTTAATGTGCAGGGATTGGTTTTAATGTTGTGATTGTTAAGAATTCGATTGGATAGACTCGGTGTCTTCTATAATGGGTTGAGCGTTGTTTTGAAATATCCTCCATTGAAAACTACTTAGAGGTAAATGATATTGTAGTAGGACTTTCTCGATTTCAAAGTCGATACAAGTGTACATCAAGTTTTAGAATATAGGAGGCCAATACCAATCTACTGGCAAAATTCTCCTTATTGCATACTGAATAGCATGACATTATGCATCTTTATTAGCCCAATCAAGAGCAGAAAAGTCGATTCGGAATTTATTAAACTATTGCTTAATATAAGCATAAAAGTGAACTGCACCACCATTTGAATAGGTAGAGCAAATTATGAATACTTTATTGTGACCTAATAGATAGCGACTATTGATGTAATTATCCAGTATTTTATTGACTAGATGTCTAAAGATAATATTTATCTTAGATTATTGTGTCTTCATCTGAATACAATACAATAATTCAATATTCTTATTCAACTCAAATTCTTAGACATGTTTAGTCTCTTTCATGTCTTCAAATCCACCTGAGAGAGCTAAGGAAAATGAAATAGGAGTCAAGGTGGTTGAAAGGTAATATGTTACTATTCAACAGAAAGTACTGATACAGGGTTTCAACAGTGTTCAAATAAAATTATGTAAAGGTCTTGTAAATGGGTTTTCAAAAATTTGTATGCGTATCGGGGACACTGATAGCATCAATTTCCGCCATTCCAATTTTCAATCAGACGTCTATGGTTCCTGCAATTCAACTAAAACCAATTGTTTTAGTACATCAAAGGTCCTTAGATATTATTAGCAGCGTTTGTGATAGTGACGTCATATACGGTTTACTATAATTACAAAAACCACAGACATCTGACGGAAATATGCATATTGATGCTATCAGGATAGAAAAAAGTAAGAAAATTTCCCCTCTAAAGCTACTTGATCTTCACTATAATAGAGACAAAACTCGAGGCTATACGAAGCATCTGCCAAAAGAAAACAAGGAACTGCGCTTATATGTCCATCAGGCTTGAAAAAAATTCTATTATGACGATTCTTAACCAATTTTTTTATTTAAAAGTCTCATGTACCAAAAGCATATGCCAAAACAAAACAAAATGCTCCATATCGATGAATCAACATGTATATTTTCTGAATGATTAAGCTACAGTGTGCATCAGAGTAGAAAATAATTTTAAAACGGGAGAAAAAAGCATTAATTCTAATAAGGATGCTTAATTAACATAACGGCCGAATTAATTTTCATTAATTGATTTTTCATTCTTTGTTAATTAGGTGATTATATTAATAAACTAATTGGCACCAATAGAATCAAAGCTCGTGAAGATTTACTTTCAATACATACAATACACTTAATAATAATTCGACAAAATGGCGATGATTTTATCGCTTATATCAAAAAACGCCGAAAGTGAAAATGAAATAGAACTTCCCTTTCGAAAACCATAAATTTCACTCCGGTTGAGCGGAGTGTTTGATGATATCGTAACGCCGTCGGATGAAAGTTTAATGTTATTTTGTCCCCGCTCCGGTGAAGATGCGACTACGTTACCTGCAGTCATCAGCGACTTGGTTCAATAGGAATCACCCAGGCACGACTTATACCATATGTTCATATTGGCCCTGTACATGCACGCGA